ATGATAGTTTTTAATATAATGAGTTTTAGATGATAGTTTATGTTTAATATTTATTTCAAACATGTCATAAAAAGACCGCCCTCAGGTTTCTCTTTGGCAACATCAAAGAATATCAATTTGTGTCATAAATGCATTTTTCATATCAATTCGGTGTCAAATTATCACTATACACTTTTTTGCCCTTTCTTTTTCTTTAATTTATGAATTCTTTAATTTAGCCACTTCAGATTTTAGTACATTCAGATTTTATCGGATAAATATTCTGACCGAAGTTTTTGTTATTGTTATCGAACAATACAAATTTTATTATTGTATTATGTATTATGATATTTTTTTATTTTTTATTAAATTTTTGTATTTTTATCAAATGTTATTTTGTTATAATTTATTGTTATAATATATTTACACAAAATATATTTTATTCGATTACATTCACTTTCATATTTAATATGTTATTATATTTTTTTTTAATATTAAATTATTGTATAAAAAATAATAAATGTAAGAAAATTTAAAATATATATGTAGAGGAATGATGAATGAGGATAATAGAAGACCTCAAATTGATTAGTTCCTAAAAGTATAATAGAAGTCAGAGCATAAAAATCTATTACAACTAATAAATTTGTCATTAGAATTGTAATAAATAATCAACATGATATATTTCCTCCAAATGCTACGCTGCTACGAATATTTAATTGATATAAAATTAATTGTTAGAATTTTATCTTGAAGTATTATAATTATTGAATTAATCTGAAACTAATAAGAATCTTTGATATCTATATTAATATTGGAGTGTAATATTGAATATTGAATTGTTGTGGAGTGCAATATTGAATTGTTTCTTATATTTTAGAAGAGAATATCCCATGCTAAAACGTGAAGTTAATATATTTATTTTTTATTTTTGTTTTAAAATGCGAAACTTTAATAAATAATATTTTATCAGAAATTGTAAAACTATGAAAAGTATGTATTATAGAAAAATAATATGCTAAAATTATTATTATTTCTTTTAAAAATTAATAAAACGTCTTTTCAAATTTTTTTTGTTGTAAATGAAAGAACTTAATTAATTTTAATCAGAATTGAATAATAACTAAAAGAAAATAATTATAATTAAGAACAATAATAATTATAGTTATAGCTATAGTAAATGTTAACTAATAAAAAGTTAATAACTTTTAACGTAACTTAGTTAATTTTAAATGAATTAATTTATTAGTTAACCTTTAATTAGTTATTTTTATAAAACATACAAATTTTAACTTTTTTCCTTAAATTAAAAATTTACTTATATAAAAGAAAAAATTGTTGAAAAAATGCATTTCCATATAAAAAAAATATGTCATTTCATATAAACTTAATTTACAAATAAAATAAACTTATTTGATAATCCATATTGTAATTGTTCTATTATTTAAAATATTTTAATTTTAAAACATTACATTCTAATTTAATATAAATAATTTTTAAGTTATATATAAGCATATTCTTGATCCAATGAATCGTGGATGCAGTCTGGACATACACCAAAATGCGATTTTATCGGTAGAATGGATGTAGCTACGTAGTTCCAAGTTCAAAAATGAATGTGCTGGTGATAGTACAGGAGACTTTGACGGGATCGTGTAGAAAAACCAAGATAGCAGCTTTCAAGTTTCTTTCCGATTACGAGTTTGTGACGTTAATTTTAATAAATGAATAAAACACTGAAGTTTACGTAAGTAATTAAAAAAAATTGACCATTATTGCGATTATTTATAAATTATAACAGACAGTATGCGATAGAGTGTTATTAGTTTATATGTATATTTTAAAAACAAGCTAATTCTAACCTATCTAAATATATGATCTTATATCCAAATCTTAAATTTTAACTTTTAGTTATAACATGACATCTCGCGCGACTATTTTCTTGAATTTTGTACGTCATGCAACTTTTATGAAACGGAGAATTAGGTATAAAAACGAACAGGGTGAACTAGAGGGAGTGAAATATGGAAAAATTACATATTTTCCAAGGTACATAAGGTTACATTACATCTATGTTTTAATTCTTTTGAAAGATTACATTATAATTATGAGGGATACTATGTAATTACTAGAAATTTTTAATTTTTTTAAATTGAAATACGAAATGAATCAATTTTTTTCACATGTCAAGCTTAAAATATAAAAATTTTAAGTTTTTTTAAAATATTCTGATTCTTGATGCTCTTATGTCAAGTTTTTGGAATGTTAGATTTTAACAAATTGTTAAATATTAGATATAATGTATCATTTTTAATTTCTAAAAGGATTAAGACACTTTATGATTTATATCAGAATTGGTGTCTCTGGTATAAACATTTAAAATATATTTGTAGACACCCAGATCATGTTGATCCACCATTTGAACCCAGCAAACTATTATTAGTAAAACGAGTGAAGCCTTTTGCAGGTAATCCTTGGTGGGAAAAAGAAGTACTCGTAAACTTAGGTTTCAAAAATGAGGTAGTCCGAGTTCTAGATGTAAAACATAGGATAGTGTTTGACAAATTCTTTATTTTACTTAATTGTCGTTCTTACAGAAACACGTAAATGAACCAGTAATCGTAAAAAACATGCCAGAGATATGTGCCATGCTTTGGAAAGTGAAGCATCTGGTAAAGATCACTCCCATAAAATTACCAGATAAATTGCCAATCGCAGACGATCTAAATGGCACATATTTACACGAAAATGGCACGTTTTATGTTATACCAAGAGTAGAACCTGCTCGCGAAGAAGCTGTGGAAAAATTTGTAAACGATCCAAAGAAGCTGAATCGTGATATTATACAAAAAAAACTGAGGCTTAAATGGCTGTTAGGACAATCCATGTAATGAAATAGAATAGATATTAAATTTAATAAAAATAAATAGTCAAAAAGTTATTGATATATATCTGTCAGCGGAGGAACTCTTAAAATAATCCTCAGCAACCTGGACTGAAATTCTTTTCTTATAAGAAAGACTTTCGAAATACCCTGTATAGTATAATAAGAAGAAATTTATGGTCAGTTAGAAATAGGTCATATATGTGAAAAATTATATAAAAATAATATGCAAAAAACAATAATATTGCGCTTTAAAAGATACGAAGGAAACAATTGAACAAATAATACAGCTTTATATCTTGAATATGCGGTCAATCGACCAGTTACAACCTACTAACAATTTTAAAATTTTAGTATTTTATTTAATTCTTAATCTGTTTAAAGCATCCCAGATCCCCAGGTTACATATAATTTTGTAATTGATTTGTAATTGATTTTATTCTACTTATTTTATTAAATTTTTATATATATTTTTTAAAATTTAATCTAGATAGTAAGATGTGTCTAATGTTGAAACTTAATAACAAATTAGATGACAGATGTTTAGGACAAATTCTTTCATTAGACATAATTGATAATAAGAAACTCCAATTTTTAATAAAATCTATGATTAGCATATCCAGCGGATTTGGGACTCTTCACAGATAAGAGCAAGATCTATAAGATGCCCTGCAATAAGATTTCATTTATCTCAATCACATTTTTTCCAATTTACTTGTAGTCAAAAAGTTTAAATATAAATATTAGGCTCCAATATAATCTTACATTTAATTAAATTAGGAGTAAATCTTTTAGGGCTCATCAATGGATCGTTATTGAGTAATAATATAACGGCTATAATGTAACAATAACATAAGCTTAAATCAAATTTAATATTACGTTATTATTATATCACAGCCGCCTCCCTCAGAGTGACTCGTGCGTATTCCAACTCTGACGCAAAATGTTCTCAATCTTATGTAGATATCAGCAGCTTGTTGCGGGACACCCAGTATATAATAAGTGGAAGATAAGTGCCGCTTTGGGTCAGTCGTGCGGACCTACTTAGTACAGTGTTCCAAAAGAAAGAAGTCGAAGTTCAGGAGAAGTCTACACCTCGCGAACGAAACTCGCCGATCCCGACTGCCGCCGAGCAATTCGAACGATTCGGAAGCGATTCGCTACGTCATATCCAAAAAAAAAAACTTCCTGTCCTCTCGAGGTTTAGTAAGCATACTATGTAACGCGATGCTGAAACTGTACTCGACCGACTAATCCTGGAGTTGTGCACCTCCGTTGCCACCGGTAAATGACCAACTGCGACTTTTACTCCCTTGCGGTACTAAGAAGTGAACTAGATTGGAACTGCGATTAAACCTAACGTCAGCTATTCGTATTCACTACTACCACTCTATGAAAACAACTTCGGCCTCGTACATGCTCGAGCGGAATTCAAAAAGTCTCGATAAATGCGAACGTTTTGGAAGTCCTAGTAACAGAGAGAGAGTCAACTGCCGCCCCTTTTCAATCCTCCGTTCTTTACGTAACTTTCCTCTTTAATATACCTTTTTTTTTCTTCTCTTTAATGTACGATTTTTTGAGCAACGATTTACTCGTGTGTCATATTTCATTAGTCATTCGCATCTTCAAGCGTATTTGTGATTGATTCTAATCGTCCTCTATGCTATCACAGTGATCATTATATCATTATATCTCTCCCCCCTTCTGATATTAATATTACTAATATATATGTATATATTCTAGTATATTAATAATTTTTTTCAAACTAATACAACGCCGTGACTTTTACATGAATTTGGCTCATCGTATTGTATTGTAATCTTTTATTTGTAATTTTAATGATGAACAGTTATTGCGTAATGATCTCGTTACAAAATATGACACCTTTTTAGCCATGTTTTTTTTTTTCGCATAAAGCGACACGATCGCTTTTATAGTCGACGGTCGATAGCAAACGGGCGTGACCCACGAGTAAAGCATCACTCACGATGGCTCTTACGAATTTACGCGGAACTGGTTCGTCTCCGATTGCGCAGTTTCCAGAAGCGTCTGTCCCTCGACGTATGATGAATTGAGATTGTGTTCTGCGTCGATCTGGCGCCGCTCTTTTCCGGCATGTACATTCTTAATAATCGCGCCGCTCTCTCCTCCTGCGATCTGTCCGCCGCTTTTCCGCTCAGAAAGCTCAATAATTTCATGCTCCGTCTCTTTATCCTCAGTCTATTCAGAAAATTCGTTTCGCCGGTGCTGGACGGACTTGTCCTCCCGTTCTGATCGTCAAAGTCCTCTTCGAATCTCCTCGATCTTCTCAGTTGTTCACCCTTTCTACTTCTGTGTTTTCTCCTGTCGCTCCCCTCGGCGGAGTCTTCCCTCCGCATCGCTTCCCGTCTCCTCTCGGCGTTCATCTCCTCGGCATTGCGAGAATTGGTCTCCTCCGCTCTTCTCGCGACGGCTTCCAATTCCCTCAGGCGTTCGGCCTCCTTGGAACTCTTAGACAACCCGGTCACCTCCGATGCCGCGTAACTCGCGTCCGCGTCCACGTCCGACAGCTTACGGTGCAGATCGACGATCTTCCGGCGGAACTCCTCGTCCTCCTGGCTCAGCTTCGCGAAGACACGATCGCGCTCCTCGGCGCTCGCACCGACGCTCGACTTGGACGCCGTTTGAAACCGCTGTCACCACCATCCGACCTGGTGCTTGCCGCTGCCAGGCGAATCCTCCTCCTCCGGCAGCGGCTCCAGCCGCCTCCTGCCCAGGAAGCAACGCAGCGAACCCAGACTACCACTACCGCCCAGCAACTGATCCATGCTCAGCTCCGGCAACGAGCAATCCTCGTTCTCCGATTCCTGATCGGCGTCGTCCTCCGCTGATAGATTTAGGCCGTAATTGTCCTCACCGATGGTACCAGCGCTCGCCGCACCACCGCTGCTGCTGCAGCCGTTCGGCGGCGGCTAGGGAAGTCAGGCACAGCTCGGGCTAGTGATTCTTTGCAAAAAGAAAACAGAAGGCAAGCGTCGTCATGCAGGCAAGCAGTGCGAAGCTTATTCTATCCTGTTCTTTAACGCGGCATTCCCGCATCACGTACGTCTATATCGAGGATGAGGGAAATCCTGATTTTAAATAAATAACGATATAATCCATTCCCCAGCGTTCAGCGTTAAATTCAGCCATCTAATTTTACAGTTTTATCTAATTTCAAATGAGGCAGTCATATTTAACGAAAAATTTCAGCGATGAGTACAAGCCATTACTTCGGAACGATACTATTGCAAGGATTTCATCGAATTATACTATACTGTGCATTAAATTCTAATGGTACTAATTGGTTTTCAAAGCAAATGTGATTATAATTTTTACGTTTAGTGCAATTTAAGTGAATTAATGCTTCAAAACTAGACGTTATTTTCAAGCAAGCTTATATGAAAATGATGATACGTATCAAGCAATCGTTATTCGTTTATGCATTTCATAATTTATATAATTATAATTTATAATGCATATTCTCTATGAATTAACAAATTTATTTTGAAGCTTTTTATATTTAAAAAATAGCTCACAGCTTTTTGTAATTATTTATAACTTTGTAATCTTCATTTCCTAAAATATAGGTGTAAGAAATCGTTGAGAATCTGCTTGTGACCACTTGATACGCGATAAAAAATTCCTCTCAACTTTGGGATTTGGTTCATGGTGCTTCTAAGCTTTAGCTGTTGCTTTCGAACAACATATCGCGTATTGTAATTACAAGCATCATTACCGAGTTGGCGGTGAAGCTTTCATCGTCCGGTCCGCCGGAAGTTGGCGTGCCCCATATATCATCGCCGGAAGTCGCCCCGGACGTGGTACCCTCTTCATCGTTTGGATCCAACGAGAACTCGGTTCGTTCTGGGGGTACCGGCGGTTGAAGAAGGTAACCACCGACACCTTCGCTAAGTTGTTCCAGCAAAACCATCTTGCTGACAACGTAGCTACTCGCTCGAGCGGTCCACGCTCTCAAACCGGATGGCGGCGATTCTGAGTCTCGATTATCATCGTCCCCCTGCTCGTCCAGCTCGTCATCTTGATCCAGACTGCTCATTGTGCCGAATCTTCTCAAAGCTCTGCTCGAGAATGAATTGTTACAAACAAAAAAAATCGCTTTAAATATTGTTTATTTGAGTGAGTGAAAAATTTTGTCCTTCTCGATGATTTACGAAGACTACCAATTTTTATTTAAGTAATCATTAAGTTAATCCTAATGAATTTGAAAGTTTCAACAAATCTAAATGTCAGCTAGATGTTTACAATTAAGCAAATTTGACTAATTCATTTTTTATTCTGTTATTTTCAATTAAAAAAGTCAACTTTAATAAGATTTGATAATTTATAATACCTGTAAGGAGGTTCTCCATCACAATCAAGATCATCCTCGCTGCCATCCTCGGTGTTGCCATCCGCAGGCGTGTAACTAGGACTATTACGTCCTGGACTATCATGCAATCCATTTCGCAATCTGTGTCTCGTACAGAGATCGGGAGTCGGTGGAAGAACCGAGATCTTTGGAGGTAATGGAGAAAACGGATCCCTCTGCAACGGTGGCGTAGGACAACCCGATCTATAATAGATGATTATAAACTATTATTATAATCACTTGTCAAAATTAACACTTTTTGGATCTTGTATTTTTTCATAATATATATATTTAGCCTTGTTTCTTACAACAAATATAGATAAGTAATAAATTAAAGACGAAAAAAGTATTTTCTTTTTATAAAAATATGTTTATTATAGGATCAAATTTGATTTCAAATATTTTGGTATATATATTAAACATTGGAAAGTTTTAAAAAATATTTAATAAATATTCAGATCTAATTGCGTGTCAAAATAAATACCTGTGACACCTTCGGCAGATACTGATGGAGCTCATCGAGTTCTCCTTTGAGGATATATGACTGCCATTTTTTCGCGTTACGCTGTTCGATTTCACGGTACTCAGACTTGCACTCGACGCGGTGCTCTGTTGCTCCACGTCAGAATTTGCCGTGGTGACTTCCTCCGTTGCGGTGTCCTGGCTGGTAGACCGGCTGTTGCTCTCTCGAGGAGTTCTGGCCGCCAATTCCTCAGCCGTCCACTCTTCGAAGGAGCCCTCGTGATCCGGAGGAGGAATTTGATGCGAATTGCGCACCCATTGCGCTAGATGATTGTTCTCTCGGGAGTCTTTTAGGATCGTTTCCAGGCTTTCGCCAGAATGCGATTCTTTTTCCTCTTCGTCAGGTTGCTGAGGTTCTCTCGCGATCTATTACATTCGGACATCGATTTCGAAAGTTTGAAAAAATTGACGCTCGAAGATGCTAAGACGATTTCAGTTCCCCAATTTAATCCCATTTCTTCATCTCGCTCTTCGCGATATTACATGAATTATTATTTATTTTTTTTTTTTTTTTTTTTTTTTTTTTTTTTGTAAGAAATGAATATGTACATTAGATGTACGTTAGACTAGTTTCGAGTGATCTCTGCCGCTATTTTTCACTGACCTGCGAGCTTTCCGTGGACTCTCTGGTGGTGGCGAAATTGCTGCTAGCCACCAGATTCTCTTCAGGGCTGTCCTGATCCGACGAGCCCAAACCACAGCCTGTATTCACATAGATGCTAGAACGCAATGAAAATTGGCGCTTATGAATACTGTTATACTTGGCCCGTCCGTGCGATTTCTTCGCTTACGTCCCGATTTCCGACAAAATATTCCGCGAGGTGCACACGCGTGTTTTTCTGTCGTGCCCGTCACTCACATTTGCCGTTGAAGGAGATTATGCCAGACGGCCTTTAGCTCCGCTGTCGGCGCGCGAAGAATAAGAACGCGTCTTCTGGGTCGACTGTGAGGACTGCAACCGCCGCTGTTTATCGTCTCGGTGTGACCATTGTCCGCGCTGCCGTTCGGGTTTATAGCGACCTGCAGCCGAAATTCCGTCGGTCTCTTTCGCACGGTGAAGCACGCCTCGGCGATGCTGGACAATCGCAGAGGTTCCTCGGTGACGAAGAGCACACGGTCCCGCGATACCCGCGCGAACACCAGAAGATCGGTCAGCAGTAGCGCCCAGGATGGTTGCAGTCGCGCTCGACCTTCAACTTTAGCAAGAGCTCCGCCGAACAGCCTAAAGCAAATTTGATTTTTTTTTTTAATAATCGTACGTTTTGTAACTAAAAGTGATCACTTCTAGCCAAATAAATTAATTTAATTTCACAAAATCACGAAATAATTAAATAATAATCGAGCAAATAAGCAAATGTAATTGAATTGTTGAATTGATGAATTATTATTCTTTATAAAAACAGGCAAAATATGATTTTTCTAAAAATTAAATTTCACTTTTACATGAAGTTACACACGACATTGTCTCTGACATGAAATTCTCGAAAAGTCAGGAAGAACGCTTTAAAGCCTCACCATCGTCTTCCCGGCATTGCTAAGGTAAAGGGCTTGCATCTCGCGAATACCAATCGAGATTCCACCTCCTGCAAACTCAATAAGGGTCTTCCGGTGTCTCGCGGGGGCTCCATGACACCCGCGTTAGCCGTAGCTTCTCTATAACCCTGGGCCAAGTCTCTCGCTTGTTGACAATTTCGCGGTGACGCCTGGCCCAACAATCTCGTCATCTCTCTGCAAACACGAATTTACTACGAAAACGGTACGGTTTTCGCTTTTCCAATACTACAAGCGCCGAGAAATTACAAGAAATTACTTTTACATTAGAAGCTTTCATTAGAAGCAGAACAACTTTGAAACTTTAGTAGACTATTCAAATTTTAACTGAAGATTTAATATTAATACTTTTTAATAGCACACAAGATTCATGAGAAAATTACGCAGCATAAAAATATTCTGATAACTTTTTAATAATTTTAATATTTATCTTTAAATACGAATATTTATTAGAAGAACATGCTTGTATAAAAATTGACGATTATTGAAAGTACAAGAAATTCTAAATAGGGTAACAAGAGTTTACTCGTTTAACTTAAAAAAATCTATATTAAAATATATAAATTCTCTAATTAAATAAATTATAATTTTCTATATCCTCCAACTTCTACATACTTTTATTCTATTAATAATAGCTTTCAAAAATACATGTATATCTTGATCTCGATATATCGCTTTGATTTAATCGAATTTTGTTTTGCGCTAATTATAAGACACGGGTTATCCAGTGAAAAAATGATGAAAAAAAGCGAAATAGGCCTCTTTAGGAGAAGAGAACACAATCGATTAGCGTAATCGTGCCAACCTGTAGTGTTCTAAGGGTAGAAGCAGCACCCCGGTGAGATCAGGGCGCCGTTTGTGGGGTACAGCGGGTTCGCAGACCAGCTTGGCGAAGGCCGTATTCCGTCTGAGAGCGACCAACAGACAACAGGCACGTTGTAGGCCACTGAGGTATCTTCGGTAGGCAGCTGTGATTTTAGGAACTCTATAGAGATAGCTATCGACACCGCCGCCTTCGTCCCTGATCTCCTCGGACAGTTTGAGCAGTTCATCCAAGTTCTGAAAGAGGATCAGGTAGTCTGCCGCCGACAGGACATCACGTCGTTCGCATAACGGGACCATGAAGCGCGTGTGACCACTCTTTAAAACGCCCCAATATCTGGTCTCACGTACAGCTAATTCCTCTTCGGGTGGCGCGTCAGGCGCCAAGTTCGGAAAGACCTGTTTGAATAAGTCGCGACAAGATTTTGGACGGCTTTTTTATACGAAATTGAAATAATATTCAAAGAAGCGTCTACTTTTGCGATAATCTCGCATTTTGTTATTTCAAACGAAGCTCGCAAAAATGAATAAAAAAATAGAAGAAAATAGCACTTAATTATGATTGCTTAACATGACATTATGAGATTTTTTTTTTTAATTAACATTCGTATCATAGGTAACGTTTATATATAAAAATATAAAAATAATAAAAATACTTTTTACGATTGTTATGATGAAGTATCTAGAATAATTTTGATAAATACGTAATTTTTTAAATCTTAAATCTCTTTCGAAAGAAACTTAACGAGGCAAGAAATATCTTGTAAAATCGATGAGAAATTATTTTCTTTTAAAGCAAAAATAATTCAAACTTATAAGAATATATATGATGAATTAATGTCATAGGATCAAGGTGGCGGGGATGTAATAAATGAACAGAACGCATGGTTGGAAACAAAACTTGTTGGCAACAAAAAGAGCAAGGTACAAAACATAACCGCATCATAACTTAAACGGCATCTCTCACGTGAGAGACACGCGCGCTATACACTACACGCTCCGCTACAAGTACAAAGAAGGTAAAGAGATGAAAAAACAATGTACAGAGGTGTGTGACACGCCGTTCGCGCTCTTCTTGTGACGAAAACAAAAAAAATAAGCTCTAAATAACGCACGCTAATGACGCGTCTAACAAATTCGCATATATTCCCGCTATAATGATAAGTCCTCATAAAAATATAAAATTTTTCGACAATTCTAAATATGTTGTAATTTCTAATTTAGCGTTAAAATTTGCCACTTTTCCGATTTTACAAATATAGCCGAAAAATAACAACATTCAGAATTTTACAAAGCGATCGTCGACCATATATATTTATCAAATATCGTGCTCTCCGGAGTATTAATAGCAATCATAAAAGCGAGTTTGTAGAATTAAATCTTACAGTATTATTCGAGTGATATCAATTATCACACATTTTTCGAATTGAAATAAGATTTATAAAACTGTAACGATACTCATGATATCAAAAGGTATTATCAGACACGTCTGCAAGTTTATAGTTTTGTGAAGTAGCATTAACACTTAGAGATGATGCAATTCCACATAATAATAGTAATTAAGAAATATATATTTTTTATGATGTTAAAGATAATTGAAAAATTACATATTTCTATAATATTGTTTTTCATGTTGCAATTAAACATTTGACGCATTTTTCTACCTAATCGATTATTTTGTTAAAATGGGGAGCTCTTTTAACACACTTTCAATCTTTGATTAATTTACGATCCATGTAATTATGCTTCAATGACGGACGTAAATTGACACTAGTAACGGTACTCTTCACTGCATTATAATTATATATTAGTCGATACCTTGAATCAGATAGTACCATTTGTGGTAACTATAGTAATAATGTAACTTTATATGATACTATTTCGAGTTTAGTAAGTCACTTTTTGCCTACAGAGATTTTAATTAATTTTGAGATATCCATTTAAATCACAAACAGTTAAAATTTACACTTTTTCCAGAGTTTAATTTCAATCGCGCAAATATTTCGTTCAGAAGGAACCGACATACATTTACGACGCAAAAAGCGGATCGTTTCATATTACATCTTGAATAATTGATAGATATAATAAATAATTGAATAAATGATAGATATAAAATAAAACACTTTTCATATATTGTCGTTATTCACGCAACGTTTTCTTCGTAATCAAGGTATCGATGAATATACATATACATATACCGCTACACACGGGTAACGTTCACACGAGGACGCCGGTACCGACCTCGGCGTTGAACGTGACTGAGTGTTGAACGTTGGGGCCGACAGCGGAGGAATGTTGAAGAGTCGCGTTCACCGAGCTGGGCCTGTGATGGGGGCCGGAATGAGCACCGCCTTTGCGATATACCTCTAGCACCAGCTGATTCGTGGCGGCCTGGATGAGGCCCAGAATTTCGTCTCGCGGTTTTGTCACGACGTTCGTCGTCTCTACAAAGACCACATGATCACCCGGCCGCAAGCCGGAGCGTTCCGCTGGACTTCCCGGATCCACGCGCTCCACTCGTGGTGGTCTGCCCCACGACAGCGAGAATCCCCATGGGATCTAACAGATAAATAATAAAATGTTTGGGTAGCGAAATTAGTTTTCGTAATCATATCAGTAGGACAAACACTAAAATTATTCATATTGTTTCTTATTACGTATTGAATCGTTTTATGATCGCATATATTTATAGAAGGAAGTAATGAAATATTTGACTAACTCGGTAATTTTCGGTACTACCTATACTTTGATTTAAAACTAAGATAAACACACTTGATTGACCGAAGTTTGCCTTAGCAGCCTTCTCGTGATGGTACACGGCGTTCTACCGCCCCTCGCAGTGAAACCCGGATGTAAAGGTAGGCCTGTAAGCGGATCGACCGGTTCTAGTTCCAAATGCCTCAGATACATGAGATCGTCCGTTCCTGAGTTGTTATTATCTGGCTCGCCATCCTTGGATAATGGCGATGACACGACGCAGTCTTGAGGTACACCCGCGAAAGGGGTGCTCGTATTTCGGACGGATCCGGCTTCCAGAGGGTGCCATGTCGCTTCCTGCAAATTCTCTTCCTCTTAATTTATACTTTATTGATACAAGAAACTAAAAATTGTAATAATTGTCGCATTTGAAAAAACTGGAAATTATGTTTCATTAAATTTTTTGCTGTAAAAAATTAATAGTTTCGATTTTTCAAAAGAAAATTGACGAATTAAGAAATAAATTTCGATAGATTCGACGAAAATTCAATTTAAGCTAATTGAAATAATTGTTATTTTTAAATATAATTCCAACAGAAGTTGAGTTACAATTTGGCGATACTTTTTATTGTCATATTAAAATATATCAAATCTGTAATATAAGAGAATATAATAGAAAATAATAGAAAATTTGTTCTAAAGTAAATGTATTTAGGATATTATCCAAATAATATATATATATATATATATATATATATATATATATATATATATATATAGAGAGAGAGAGAGAGAGAGAGAAAAAGGGGGGATGAAAGGGGTGAGAAATGCACGTGGTAAACGTGGTGCGCATGATCCGGGGGAATCGATTCCCCTCCTACCGCACAAAAGGGGAAACCTTCTCTCTCTCGAATGCCCCTAGAAATTACAATAGTTTAGATATTCGGACGGACCATCGACCGAAAAGACACGCGGTTTGGAATTGCGTAATTTCCTGCATCGCTGAAAATCTTTCAGATCTTACCTTAATTTATTAAAAAGCCCAATATATTGAATATAAAGCATAAGTATATAGTTAAGTATGGAAGCGCTCTATATGAAAATTCTAGACTTCTCATAAACAAGATTTGGTAACAGTGATAATTTACACGCGCAATATTTAAGAGATATTAAATATGATGAGCAATTTAATAAAATACAGAAGTTTGAGATAAAAGGTTTCGATTTTGATTTATTTATATAAATATATACACACAAGGATTTTCTTAAGAAATCTCTTTAGGCATGAAAGTATTAAAACTATAAAATGTACGAAAGAAATTTGATTATAAAACAAATAATAAATAAATAAATATGTATAAATATGTATGCATAATTATGATTATAATTTAAATTAAAAGGATTCGAATCGTACATAAACGTGTGGATAATATCCGTATTATCTTTGTGAAAATGTAATTTCTTCGCGGTGACATTTTTCCGATATGAGAAATTCTCGGAACAGCTTAAAATTAGGTTGACTGCTTTGATCGGACATTCCGAAGAATAAACAAACCAAGGTCGAGACAAAAGGATATTCGATCATCGATCGAATATCGAACGAGGAGAAACGCGCTTTCTTGCAAAGCATACGACATCGTACACGCGTAAAAATAAACGTAACGTCGGATAAATGATTGACCCGATGGGTATAACTAGATTTATATAGAAACACACGACACGAGTAATATAAAAAAAAAAAATAGGAATACGTGAGATACGATAGATAAATTCGCTGCTCCACTAACATAAATTTCACAGACAGTTTCGTGTCCGCTTTTACGAATTTCACGGGGTTTTCTCACGTCGTATTGCCCTGGCGTACGTCGAAAGATTACTATCTCGTACACGAGGCATCACGTGCTTGTTAAGCCTCCTGTAAGTTAACGACATATCGTTTACGAGGTTTTATCAGAACGAATTAAATCAGGGCTGATTTCGCCGGCCGAGATTAACTTCCACATTTCTCCCTCTTGCTCTGACTATTACTAATTGAACAGGCAAAACAGTACAAGCCTTATCGCGGCAACCTGTTTTCCAACTGTAAACTTGTTCTAGAATTCGTGTTGAATCTATTAGTTCTCGCCTTTTATGCTCTCCAAAGAAACTGTACCGTAAGAATATCACGTAAATATACTTATCTTTACATAATTAAAAGTTAACAAAGAAAATCTACAAGTTTATTATAAGTGATAAAATTAAAGATTTGGAAATTAATTAAAGAACTAATAGACAACACAGTCTTCTTTATCTCTCAAAAAAAACTTTACAACCTGTTTTTAATGTAATCGTTTCTACATCAAATTTATTTTTTTTTAATCCTTCAAAAAGTGAATTATATCATTGCCATTTATATTTAATTTCTTCAATATTTTTTAATCGATGTCATGAATTATCTTTCATATATATATATATATATATATATATATATATATATATACGTATTCTACTACGAGTAAAAACTAACGTACGTAACTAATTAAATACTTACCGTAACAAAGCCAGGCACTTAGTCTTTAATAAATTAAAATTTACTAGACAACGACGGCGTCAGATTGTCTTGAAATCTCGTAACGCGTTCATCGCGACCTCCTCGAGATTTACGACTAACTCTGCGTCAGTATCTTCTTCGCACCCTCTAGTATCGTAACGCCTCCTCCTCCTCCTCCTTCCTCCCCCCCCCTCCTCCCTCTCTTTCTCTCTCTCTCTCTCTCTCTCGTTTTCTCGTCTCCGCGGAGCATGCTCACCTTGCACGACGATCCCGGTGCCAGACGGCGATGTCCAGGGACGTGGGCCTGTGACCGGTGCAGTGACTGTTGTATGCCGGGCAGGGGAGTATAAGAGTCTCGCGGAACACCGGATTCGGCGTGGCGCGATGAACTGCGGTTCTCTTGACAACTCCCTCGCCACTGATATTTTTCAGACTTGCCTTTACGTATGCGTGCACCGGTCCTTCGTACGCCCGCCTCAGGTCCTTGCACCTTATTACTGCGAACATTACGAAAATCGGGAATGTATTTTGAGAATGTAAAAGAAGAAAGAGAAAAGGACAGATAGATAGTTTTGTTATATCGTATTCATTTTGAAAAGTGAGTATTTTTTATTTTACATTCATCGAGAAATGGATTACGTACGTTTTTGTTTAAAAGAACTTTCCCGTCACAATCAGTGGTATATATACCAATAACATAAGGCGATAATAATTACGAAAAATAATAGACCTACGTTTATGCGATTTTAAAAAAATAAGATAATCTTGGAATTCTTTCTTTCATTTTTCGTTTCGCTTTTAATAATCAACTACTTTCAAAATATAACACAGTAAAAAGCTCTGAGTGAAAGTATAGTAAAAAGTTTTCATTAGATAAATTCTGAATTTAATAGAACATTGTATCATTCGTAGTACAAGGTTTATAGTATAACATTTTGATATCTTTTTTATTAATACAATGACAAAAGATTCTTTTTAATAACTAACGAAAGATAAAAGATGTTGGAGAATTGTAGTTTTCAGCCATATTTATAGCCATATTTTGTGATTGCTTTTAAAGATTCATTTGATTTATGTTTGCAGGAAAGAAGGGAGTATCCGATAATGTAATGAAAAGGATCAGTAGGTTGTTACGACCTTTGCCCTACTTCATTTTCACTTCATCTTCACATTCCGTCTACCCACCTAGGTTTTATCGGCGGTAAAACGGAACTGAAAGGCATAATGAATAAGAAAATGAATCGAATAGGAATACCGAGAATAATTAAACTTCTTTTTATTATTTCCAACCGATTACTTTTGTTGTCAATAATCAAGATTATAACGCATTATAATAACGTCAGGCTTTTAATTATATATCTGTGAAGTTATTGTTATGTTTCTCTAAAGAAAGACCTTTAGAAAGATCAAGAAGAGATTTTTAAGATATGTAGCACTTTAAGATATGTAGCACTTTAACACGTACAGCAATAAACTTCGCGGTACATGGAATGTGTTTTGTGGCCAGTTGCCTTTGTTCTCGTAAGTTTCGCTACATATAATCTAGATGTGTTTGTTTTAATTTGCCGCAATTATACTGCTTCGCGATTATTTAATATTTACAACTCATTGTTGTTTCTACGAGTTTATAACAGCAGTATAAGAATACATTTAATATTTTAAAGACTATTAAAACAGTAATACATAATTTATCCAATTTAAAATAATAAAAATATTTTGTTTAGTTGTAAATATAAATGTAACATCTCTAACTTCTAACTATATTTATTTAATGGTTATATAATTATTTCATTAGTTTTAAGAACATTCAAACAAATATTATAATAAATAAAAATTTATGCAATTTTGACTTTAACATTTCTAACATCTTTGTTAATTATTAATTTTTATTTTGAGATATGCATATATAGATAAAGAATACAGAGAGAAAAATAATTAAATTTAATTATTATTATTTCATTATCTTAAAACATCAAAACTGCTTTTTTCCTCGTTTAACAAAAAAAAACAATTTATCTTCATTTTGTATGTGCTCACAACTTTTCCCTTTTTTGTGAATATACTTCTCTGAAATTCCTTTCTCCACTGTCGGACTTTTAATCTATTTAAATTTAATTGTCTAAGCAAAATATTTTTATGCAATCAAGTCAAATGTATTTGTTCCTTTATGCAAATTTTGTGGCAAATTTTGCATTGTGCGACGGCACTGCGGACAGGAGGAATCCCGGAGAATCGACGCTCCGGGCTCACTCTTACGGCCGACTGTACCACGGCACTCACTACTTGCGCGAGGACGTCTGACCGATGCGGCATTCGCCACTGGCTCCATCCGTGCCGAGGATTCGCATTGCGCGATCTACTTTTCGGCGATTACTACGCACCATAGTATCACGTTTTAAATAATCTCAAACGTCTAGCAAATCGACGAATAGAGTGAACTTGTAAAAGAAAAAAAATACACACACGTACACAGCACTATTCTAGTTCTACAAATAATTCTCCTTCTTCAAGTAGATATTCTTCTTCTTGCTGAAATTCGTTATATCATCCGTAGAAGTAATATTTAAAAAGAATAACGTGGTGTAAGAAATACGAGCGGGATTTTCGGGAATAAATCGTGTCGACATTATATTCAAGTTCGCCTCACTCTCTTATATAAAAATTAAGCGGGAATTTCTGAGTGATGAAGGACGACCGGGAAACTGCGGTGCCACGGGAAACGAATCTCTCGGGACCAATCGAGGACGATTAACCGATTCTGCGAGACGACCGCGAAACGCGTCAGCGAACGGCGCATCGACCGAATGCGATGCGTTTCATTCCAAACGCGGCAAGAACGATTGGGAAAACAAGCCGGCAGAATGAGACTCGTCATCGAGTATGAGAAAAGATCGTGACTGTTGACACGCAAGCAACGCAACGATGATTAATGTCGTTGGGCTTACTAACTGGAATCAAATCGCCGGGAGGGTCTGTAGGTTACTGGCACAGTACGATGCCGAGTGCGGGGTGCCGAGCGCCCTCGAAGCACCCCCTCTCGAGACACGCAACTAGCGCATGTCTCGTGGCCGCGAAATTTCAGGAGTGTGCGAGGGTAGCAAGTTACCCCATAACCAAA